AGTAGATTATTGAGAGAGTAGAATGTCATTTTTGAAGTCACTGTAGAACCTTTGCCTTATATAAACACACACAGACAAAAGTCGTATATATATATTAATGTGTTATAGGTTGTTTCCTAAAACAACATTTTCAAAAGTTATACTTATTGGTGATATTATCCTATTTATTGTGTTTTATACTTCTTTTGCATACACAGTCATATAGTAAATGTTTTTCATCCTCCACCCTGTTGCACTTTAAACAATTTTCAGAGTCAGAGAGATTTCACATGTAAAGTCTTGTTTCTTGACATGATTCTATGCAATAATTTATAATTAAGATGTGCCAAAGTCGCTTATTTTAGCGACTTTAGTGGTCCAAGTGTTGGGCCATGCAATCTTTTTATTTAACTGTGTCTCCCATTTTGTGTGTGCTGCATTTGGGACAGTGTTTTAGTTGCAATAATACATTTATAAATTTGATTTGATTTATTTTCAGTATATTTTTTATGTGCATAAGCATTTGGATTGTTTGCGATGCATTGTCCCTTGCGTTTTGTGCATTTGTCTTTCTTATAATATGGTAATTCGTTAAGTATATGTGTAATTTTCCCCTACCTGACGTGGAAATATACTGAATACTTAGTACGTGTGAAAACAATTGCGAAAAAAAGTCTCAAGGTTGTTCTCGGGTGGAACTCGAACCCACGATCTGCAGATCACTAGCCTGGCATCATACTACTAGACCACCGAGCATGTGCCTGATAGCCAGGGTTAAATTCGAGTCCAAGTAATCAGCGGGTACTACAATGTTGATAGTAATTGTTATTGTCGTGATGGAATAGACAATCAAATTACTTGAGGGAAGTTCCGGAAACTCCGCCCCCAACGGCGAGTATGTGAAACACAATTCGAAAGTCAGAAGTGAAACCCTGGATTAATAATGGTATTGTATGTGAATTTGTGAGACAAACTTTAATTACCCCTATTTCTATACTGGACATCAATGGGAGCTGATAAGAAATCTGGAGATGGTGGTATATTCTTAAATTGTATTATCAAATTGACGTCCACAAACCTTGTACTTCAATAATATTTTTCTCATCAAAAATGTTTCTTTTTTTGGTGATGTCTCCATCACAGTTTGGTTAACATATGCACACGTCATCTCTAAAATTAGGCCACCTTTTTCTTCGTATAAAAAGCGTATAACCTTCCCGCTGTACTTCGTTGCTCATTGATGCACAGGAGCCCACACACACAACAGCCATATTGTCAGTGCCTAATAAATAGTAAATATTTTATTTGCAAGTAAATTATTCTTATTTTGATTGATTGTTTCGAAACAGTTTTTCCAAGTGATCAGCAAACATGCACCTTCCTCCCAGGTGTCCAAGTCAACATGTATTGAATATTGTTAAGTAACCAATTGCGCGTATTCCTGGTAAAAAATGAGACAAATAATGCCCTGGGGGTTGTACATGGGTTTCTACCCAAAGAAATACACGAAACAGAGTACCATGTGACTCCATGGCCGGTTGCATGTGAAGAGCAACAAGTAAACATTCTACAGTAAGATTAATGTTATTATTATTGTTATTGCTTTATAAGTATCAT